CCCCCGCCCGGTTCCCCTCAGCGCCCCGGTGCTCCCCGTAGCCCCCCGCTCCGCTCCCTTCCCTCTCAGCTTCTCCTGTCCCCGGGTCTGCCATAGTCTCCCGGTCCCCCCGCCTCGGTTCCCCCGTAGCCTGGCCCCCCCGGTGCCCCGATCGCTGCCACCATGAGCGAGCTGAAGGACTGCCCGCTGCAGTTCCACGACTTCAAGTCGGTGGACCACGTGAAGGTGTGCCCCCGGTACACGGCCGTGCTCGCCCGCTCGGAGGACGATGGCATCGGCATCGAAGAGCTGGACACGCTGCAGCTGGAGCTGGAGACGCTGCTCTCCTCCGCCAGCCGCCGCCTCCGCGTCCTGGAAGCTGAGACCCAGGTGCCGGGGGCCGTAGGGCAGCTCTCCGTGTCCCACTCCTTCCCACCAAAGGGGCTGCCGCTGCTCCGTCCCTGCCCGGTGCCAGGCACGGGACCCACCGAGGCATCGCTCTCTTCCAGATCCTGACGGACTGGCAGGACAAGAAGGGTGACCGGCGGTTCCTGAAGCTGAGCAAGGACCACGATGTGGGCACCTCTGTCAAACACGGGAAGCCCAAGAAGCAGAAGCTGGAGGGCAAAGGGGGACACGGGACCGGGCCTGGCCCCGGCCGGCCCAAGTCCAAGAATCTGCAGCCCAAGATCCAGGAATACGAGTTCCAGGATGATCCCATTGATGTACCCCGCATTCCCAAAAATGATGCTCCAAACAGGTGCGTGGGTGTTGGGGTGGGCATTGGGGATTGTCGGTCTCCTTCCTTGTAGCACCCGGTGCCAGGGCTGCCCCCAGCCTGAGGGAGGAGGTGCTCCTGGGGGACGGGAGGAGTGTAGCAGCTCCTGTAGCAGCTCTCCCTCACAATTCATCCGTCCTCGCAGGTTCTGGGCATCGGTGGAGCCGTACTGTGCTGATCTCACCAACGAGGAGGTCAGAGTCCTGGAGGAGCTGCTTAAGCCGCCGGAGGATGAGGCTGAGCATTACAAGGTGAAAAACTCCTGAGCCCACCTGGAGCCCCCTTGTCCCTTCCCTTCCCCTCTCTCCCCGATCCCTCCCAGCCCTTGGCCACTACTCCATCCCCTCACAGCGAGTGTTCCCTCCCGGGGAGGGTGGTCGTGGTGCGGGGTGGGAGGCAGGGGGCTCTGGGAGCTGTGCTGAGCCCCGTTCCTGCAGATCCCACCTCTGGGGAAGCACTACTCGCAGCGCTGGGCCCAGGAGGACCTGCTGGAGGAGCAGAAGGACGGAGCCCGGGCGGCAGCTGCTGCTGACAAGAAGAAAGGCGTCCTGGGGCCACTGACTGAGTTGGACACCAAAGGTGCCTCCGTCCCCACCCGTCTGCCTGGTGTGATGGGCCCGGAGGGGCTGCGAGCACCCACACCCAGTGGAGCTGGGCCCTGGCCCCGTGCCCCTGGGCTAGCGGTTGCCCTGCCCTCCTGCTCACCTCCCCTTGTTTGCGGTTGCTTTTTTCCCCTTCCCACTTCCTCCCAGATGTCGATGCCCTGCTGAAGAAGTCGGAGGCCCAGCACGAGCAGCCGGAGGACGGCTGTCCCTTCGGACCCCTGACGCAGCGTCTCCTGCAGGCCCTGGTGGAGGTGAGGGGGCTCCGTGGGGCCGTCCCGTGGCCTGGCCCCGTGGGGCGGCTCTGCCACCGCCTGGCGTGGTGACCCTTCCCTTGTGCTCCTGTCCCTAGGAGAACATCATCTCCCCCGTCGAGGACTCCCCCATCCCTGAGATCGCCGGCAAGGACTCGGGAGCCGACGGTGCCGGCACGTCTCCCCGCAGCCAGAACAAGCCCTTCAGGTGAGCGGCTGAGGTGACCCCGGAGCTTGGCGCTGCCTGTGGGGACACCAAAGATGTTGGTGGCTTCCCTGCCCCTGGCAAACCGCGGGGAGCAAAGGGCATGCGGTGGCCAGCAGCCACTCTCTGTCCCTGGCAGCGTCCCCCACACCAAGTCGCTGGAGGGGCGGATCAAGGAGGAGCTGGTGGCCCAGGGCCTGCTGGAGTCAGAGGACCGGCCGGCCGAGGACTCGGAGGACGAGGTGCTGGCCGAGCTGCGCAAGAGGCAGGCGGAGCTGAAGGCCCTCAGCGCCCACAACCGTGCCAAGAAGCACGAGCTGCTGCGGTGAGTTGCGGGGCAGGGAGACGGGGGCGGGCAGGGGGGGCTGCCCGGCGGGGACTGACACCTCCATCTGTGTGTGTCTCCCCCCCTCAGGCTGGCCAAGGAGGAGCTGCACCGGCAGGAGCTGCGGCAGCGCGTCCGCATGGCCGACAACGAGGTGATGGACGCCTTCCGCAAGATCATGGCCGCCCGGCAGAAGAAGCGGACGCCCACCAAGAAGGAGAAGGACCAGGCCTGGAAGACCCTGAAGGAGCGGGAGAGCATCCTCAAGCTGCTGGATGGGTAGGGGGGGCCGAGGAACCCAACCCCCCCCTTTCTGCCACGGACCTGGGCAGCCAGCCATGGTGGCCGTGGCCCTGTCACCTGCAGGGTGGTGGCATGCCAGCCCCCTCACACGCCTGGGTTACCCACCCGGGTGACAGTCCCAGCTGCTGTCCCCTCTCTGCGTGGGGCTGTCACCGACCCAGGCTGGACATCCCACTGAGGAGCTGAGGTCCCTCCCAGGAACGTGTGTCCCCCCCCTCCCCGCCGTGGCCAGTGGCTTCCGCTCCTGTGCCCCCCCCTCGCTCCCCCTGTTATTTTGGGAGGGTGACATCAGCCAGGCCACCGCGGGGGGGTGCGGATGTGGTGGCTGCTGCGGTGCGGCTCCCACGGTCCCCTGTCCCCTCCCTTCGGCCCCGGGGTGGGTGGGAATCCCGACCCACGGAGGGGGGGG